AGGCTTCAGGAGGATCCCCCGGCCGGAGTGCGCGGAGCCCCCTCGGATAACAACATCATGGTGTGGAATGCCGTCATCTTTGGGTGAGTCTCCCCCCCCCCCCCCAAAAAAAAGCATCCTCCTCTTCCTCATCCCCCATCCGGGAAGATTTTTTGCACCCCGCATCTCTGCTCCCCATCTCCAGGAGGAACAAGGAAGCGCTTCCTGGATGATTCCCCCCCCCTCCTGTGCAAACACCGCCCCCCTACTTTGGTTTTCCAAAATTGCAAAAGGGCTGTTTAAAAAAGGGGGGGCAATTGGCAGATTTGCTGGGAATGATTGGCCCCAGGTTTAATTCTGTTCCCCCCCCCCAACCGTTGCAAGCCCTCCCCCCCATTTTTTTGCACCCAGCATCTCTGCTACCCAAGCATTTCCTGGAAGATCCCCCTGGAAGATGTGTGCACACATGCACAAACACACCTACTGTGGCTTTTCAAGATTGCAAATGGGCTGTTTTTTTTTTAAAGAAACAAATAAAGCATTGGCAGATTCTCCACCTAAAAGGCTGGAAATGGCTGGCCCTGGGTTTAATTCTGCTCCCCCCCCCAGCCCAGTTCTGCAGTGGAAGTGGAAAGTTGTGGGGGTTTAGCCTTGCAGAAGGCAGCTCTGCTGCCCCCCCACCTGATGAATAGGCTGAAGGAGGCTAGAAAACCCACCCACCCCTATTTCTTTTCTGTCAGGGAAAAAGGAAGGAGGAGGACTGGTTTTAATTTACAGGAAAGACGGCTTTTTTTTTAAAGGGGTGCTTGGTACTCTGTGAGCTTGCTGGTTTTCTTGCAGATGTTTCATGACCCAGCTAGGCAGTGTCATCGATGCTTAGAAAGGAGAGGGGTGTGGAGAGAGGAGGAGAAAAAGGACTAGGGGGGTCCTTACTGGTCTCTGAGCTTGGTTGTTTTCTTGCAGATGTTTCATGATCCAAACTACGTAACATCATCAGTTACCCAGTTTAATGAACCATCTGCAAGGAAACAACCAAGCTCAGAGAGCACCAAGGACCTCACAGTCCTCCTCTCCTCTGCACACCCCTCTCCCTTCTAGCACTGATGATGTTGCCCAGTTGGGTCATGAAACATCTGCAAGAAAACAAGCGAGGTCAGAGAGCACCCAGGATCCTTCATTTCAACCCTGAGCTACAAATATCATTGGCTTTTGTTAAGCTAAAACGCCACTCCCCACAAAATAAGTGCAGTTGATCTGCAGACATTTCTTACATAAAGGATGCCCCCGCCCCTTTCAAGAGGGAAGCCAGGCAGTCATTTATGAGGGTTGCTGCAGGATTCTACAATCATCCGTCTCTCCCCTGGGTTAGCAGGAGAAAATCGAGCGGCCTGTTATTCCAAGGGCTGTGGTGGGTGGGAGCTGTAAAAAATTGTTCAGAGGGTCCTAGATTCCTTTTCACAATTGGGGGGGGGGAATCTATTGTATTGCTATTCTAGCCAGTATGCCATGGCTGTTCGGTCTTGCATGAAGGGAGAGCAGGGTTTCAGTTCATTGACATGTTGGGGAAGGTTAAGAACTTAAGATGATTAGGATCTACAGAAGGCATAGGCTAAGCACGTTGGTGCTCTTTCCTAGCCTCTTGCTATTCAGTTGGCTAGAGCTGATAGACTTTGAGAATGTAGGACATTCAGAGGAACCCAGTTTTCCTTCCCTACATTCAGATCATCAACACTCTAATTACTGTCCTTACCACTTGTCAGGCGTTTTAACTCTCTGCTTTCATCAATGGGAATATCGTTCTCTTGGCCCAGTTTTTACTTTTCTGTGCGATGATAGTCTAGTCATTCCACTGGCTGTTGGTTTTTTTCTTTCTTCCCCCAGACATCTCAAAATTGTACTTCCCTTCATTCAAATTGTTTGATAGGCGCCCACTTTGGATCCATAATGTATTGCTCACTTCCAGGAGAGAGATTTGCAAAGGCAGAAATAATTGTAATTGATGATAACATAATAGGACACATCCAGATAGTGGCTGGCAGTTGTTCTGTTTTTCTTTTTGTTGTTGTTGTTTAAAAGAAATAATAGCATATTCTGGCAAGGTAGAATGGCAGGGTGTGTGTTGAGAAACTGTCATTAGTGGTGGCTGGAGTTATTTTAATTAAAAATAATCATTATTGTTATTCTGACAACCAGTTCCTTGGTCTCTTGAAAGAATATCAGGCCATTGGAATGAATGAAGACTGTCTGGGAAAGCTTTCCTACATATTTATAAATACTTTGTAAAATACACCCCCCCCCCCAAAAAAAGAGAGATAAGCATGGCATCTCAGCGGCTTTGGTGCAATCTGAAAGAAATTCCTCCAAATTCATTTGCTTGCTTATCTAATCCAAGACTGATAGGCAGGGAAGAGTGATCCCTGCCTCAAATCCTCAGCATGGATTCCTTTTCTCTCCATCCCCAAATGGTCCCACAACTCTAATTTCCTTGTGTGTGTTTATCACACCTGCTCCAAAAATTTTCCAAAGCGGATATTGCACACCGCATCCCCGCCTCTTGAAACTGCAAATGACCATGAGGAAACCAAGATTGATAGGCAGGGAAGAGTGATCCCTGCCTCAAATCTTCAGCCTAACCCTAACCAACCTTCATGGTTGTGATCCTTGCCCTAACTGGAATTCCAAGTGGAAAAACCTTAATCAATAAATGGATTTTAGCTCATCCTTTTACAGTAATTGTTACCCTGGCTGGTGTGACCTGTTTTTGATACAGTGTGGTTGGCGTTTCCTTTTTCAAATTGTCTCTGGATCGGAGCCGGTTCACTTTCCTCCTTGGCTGTGTTGTGTTTGACTTCAAGCAAGCTCCAGGAAATCTAGGTCTGAAAGGGCAGTTTTTCTGCCTTTCTCCTTCTTTGACCTCTAGATAGGCTGGTATTCCTCTGTTCAATGCAGTTGGAGGTTTCTCAGGATTGACGATGGCAGCCTGTCCAGAGAAGTCCCAGTGTTTGAACGGGCAAATGCTGTTTTAGGATGATCTGTTGCAGTTCGTGCTTTTCTAGGGTACCTGAGGATGGAGCAGTTGCTTTTGTGTGCGTCCTTCCTTTCTTCCCTCTGCGTCTGCCTCCTCTCTGCCAGCATTATAGGACGAGCCTCCTCCGGACATGGGTCACTGCACCGTAGCTGTGACATACCTTATTCTCGGTATCGACACAGCTTTGAGGTTGGCTCACATCTTGCAAAGACTCACCAGCATTTGTGTGGGCTTCTTTGTAGGAGGGGGGGTGTCAATTGCTCCAGCTGAGTGGTGAACAGTCTGATCTCTTCATCTCTTTCCATGACTCCTAGCAGCCTGCTGGCATATAGAAGGGACGACAGGCAAGCTGCGATGGTTGCTATTCGGTTATGAACTTCTAAAAATTTCTAAGAGCTCGTGCCATGGAAGCCGCATGCTTGGGGCTTCCTCTCCAGCATCAAGATCAGGGGTGACTGGGGTGAGAGCAGCAAAGAGAGAGGGAGAGAGGAGAGAAGAGAGAGAGAGGAGAGAAGAGAGGAGAGAGCGAGAGAAAGAGAAAAAAAGAAAGAGAGAGAGAGATAGAAAGAGAAAGAAAGAAAGAAAGCTCTATACTGGTTGCAACTCAACAATATCGCTTAGGTTTCCTTCTTCTCCTAAAGCCTTTTGAGTTGAGCTCAGTTGGAGTCCTGTTTTTGGGAAAGGAGGGAATGCAACGTGTCCTTTTTTAAAAAGCTGACTCCTCTAAGTATAATCTATGACCTGCGAGATCTTGACAATCCTTTTCTTTTCCAGGCCAGAGGGAACCCCGTTTGAGGATGGTAAGTCTTTTTTGAAACTACCTTAAGAGATTCTTTATGTAATTGTTGATGTGGATGTCACGCCCACCTTGATCAGTCCTAAAATCCCACATCGGAATTTTTGAGGGCAGGAAAGCATTTAGGTGCTTACTAGATATGGAGATACCTCAATCAGAATTCTCTCTCTCAGAAGCTTTGCCTCGCGTGACACTGTTTTCCACCTATTGGGTTGATCCCATGAGTGTCAACGCCCTCTTTGCTCGTTCCCTTTTGACCCTGTGTATTTAAAATTATTTTCCATTCTGATAAGATTCCATTCAGTCCTGAATAGCCTTGGCTTTCCCTCCCAAGACTTGGCTACTGGGGTTGCTTTGGTTCCTTATCAGCGTGATAATGGTTCAAAGGCCGTCTGCGTCCTTTTGGTTATTTTATTTAATTGCATTTATTTAATTGCATTCCACCGTTATTATTTTTGCAAGCAAGTCAAGGGGGTGAACCTATGCACCACACCCTCCTCCTATTCTCCTCGCCATAACCCTGTGAGCTAGCTAGGAGAGAGAGGGTGACTGATCCCAAGGTCACCCAGTTGGCTTTTATGATTAGGCGGGACTCAAACTCAACGGTCTCTTGGTGATTGGCCCAAAATGATACAGCCAGCTTTCATGGCTAAGGCGGGACTTGAACTCACTGCCTCCTGGTTTCTAGCCTGGTGGCCTTACCTGATAGACCAAACTAGACTCTCTACTGAAAATGATTCTACTGTGGTGGTTGATTACGCTTACAGTGGCTTTTTAGAACTTACTTGAAGGCATTCATAATTGTGTTGTTTAATTTTATGGCACTCTTTTTCTCAGATCTTTCAAAAACCACCTTTACTGCACCACCTTTAACCTTGCCTTGGTGTATTTAGAGTCACGTGCATGTTTTTAAAAAATCACGCTTGTTTTCCCCTTTGGCCTTCTACCTACTTCCTTTGCCACCCCCTGAGTTCAGTTATAAAAGCTGCAGTTTGTTCCCTTCTTTGTGTGATGAGTTGTGCAACAATTTCACAGCCGGTTTCTCTCTCTCTCTGTCTGGTTTCAGATTCTCTTCCTTGCAAGGGAACGGTTGGAGTTTTCTGATTTATTATGGACCGATAAGAAAGGCAGGGACAATTTAAACCCACCTGTGAATATGATGTCATTAAACTGTCCCCCCTCCCCTTTCTCAATTATAGGAACATTCAAGCTTACCATAGAGTTCACGGAAGAATATCCAAACAAGCCTCCCACTGTCAGATTTGTGTCTAAGATGTTTCATCCGAATGGTACGTAGCTTTCTTTTAACAGACTACAGTTTGTATAAAAGAGCTGGGACGGTGGAAGAAATGGGAGCCCGTATTTGCAGTTTTGAGAGAAGCTAGCTTATAAAATCTAGCATTCCTGCACGAGTGAAGAAAAGCTGCAACGCCTTTAGAGGTATCTGTAATGCTGCAGCAGTGACCTGAAGGTGTTAATATAGAGATTCATCTCAATCATATTATTAAGAAGATAAGAGATTCTGGTTAAACAGCACCCAGTACAGAAGAGTGCATTGTTCCTTCACGGAGCACATGAAGTCAACAATTACTGACGTTGCTGGAAAATGTTTTTGAGGCACCCTAAGATAATCCGCTTTCATAAAAGGGAAGTTGAATATAAGGTGTTCCTCTCGGTGATAGAACAAGCGTGAATTTGAGGGATCCTCCGGCATTTTAAAAAACCAAACACGTTTGTTTACATTTTGAAGTCTGACCTCTTCACAAAATAGATTTGTGGACAAGGAATCTAGGAAGATCAAAAGTTCTCTCTGGATCTCCGTTGTCCGTGTCGATTAGGTTGGTATGGGCTACAGAATCATTGCCTCAAATCTTGGCCTCCCATCGGTTTAGGGGACAGGTAGATTGTCAACTCCTCGTAATTATATGGTTTCAGCTGTGGGATTCCTGGGTGTTTGATACACCGCTGAAAATCAAAGAGAGCCGGTAGAATCCTATAATGAAGAGATAAGTGAATATTTACAAGAGGTAGCTTGATGGCTATAATTATGTGTTATTAGATTTCCATAGATCTTTGAAAGGATATGCGGGCCTTAATCCTCTTTTCCCATTGTAAAAACCCACGCATTCTCCTTTTAGTCTATGCAGATGGTAGTATATGTCTGGATATCCTTCAAAACCGTTGGAGCCCTACCTACGATGTGTCATCCATCTTAACCTCCATACAGGTAACGTGGGTTGTTTGCTCGTACTTTTCGAAGCTCCCTTGGATGGTCCTCGCAGGGGCTGTGCAATTCAGTTAATTGGGTGCACCCTTCCAGTGTCATTTGGAATTCAAAGTAATTGGCTGAGGTAACTGGCCCCTGTTGGGCTGGTTTCTAAGCCAATTTAATGGGGGGGGGGAAATGATAATCAAAAAGTTTTGTTGGGAGGAGGCTAAAATTTGGTAGCTTTGGAATCAATAAGCCCATGGGTGCATGTCGGTAGAATTCAGTGCTTCAAGGAACTCAGTGCATTGTTTTGACTCCCCGAAAAGGAGCTATTGTAGAAAATGTGCCTTTTTTTGAGAGGCATCCGGACTTTCTTTGAAGAGGTTTCACTTCTTGCCCAAGAAGGTCCTTCAGCTCTGACTGGATGGTGGGGAAGGGAAGGGTTTATACTCCTTGCAGACAGCTGGTCATTTGCATCATTTTAGAGGGTCCCTCACCCTGAAGACACAGAAAAAACCTCCAAGTGCTTCAACGACCCTCAAAAAGCATGCAAATGACCAGCTGTTTGCAAAGAGGTATCAATCCTTCCATCCAGTCCGAGCTGAAGAAGCTTCTTGGATGAGAAGCGAAACGACTTCAAAGCAAAAAACAAGAAAGTCCCGTTTCTTCTTGGGGGGAAAAAAAAGCACCTTTGGGACAACCATGACTTTGGAGGACTGAGAATTGCTACAGATGTATTGCATAAAATCTTATTTTAAATCAGTAGATGAGCTGGTGAAATGTGGCTTTGAATAGATTGCAAATTCTTTAGCCTGGTTTTTGTTCCCTGCAAATTTCTGCTGTGAACTTAACATGAGTACAGGTAGTCCTCAGGTTTAGTGACCGTTTTTCACACTTACAACTGTTGTAGCATCCCCACGGTCATGTGATCAAAATTTAATGTTTGGCACCTGGTTCATATTTATGTCCTGCATATTTATGCGATCAACTTCTGCTACCTTCTGACAAGCAGAGTCAGTGGGGAATCCAGATACACTTAACAACCATGTGACTTAACTTAAGCAGTGCAATGATTCACTTAACTTAAGAAAAGGCTTAAATTGGGGCAAAACTCCCTTCACAAATGTTTCACTTTAGCGGCCTAAATTTGGGGGGGATCCCTGTATGGCCGTAACTCGAAGAACTGCCTGCACTTGTTCGCAATAGCAAATCTTTTGGTGCCCAGAGAGAGAGAGAGATAGATTAGCCTTAAAACATTTGTTTTATGCCAATCTGGCTGTGTTAAAAGTGGTGGCACAGGTGCAAAATTTAAAAGGGGTATTAAAAGCATCCCGGGAGTATTCTTAACGCACCTCCAGCACATGGATTTTTAACTATGTCCGCGCTCGGTATTGGCGTGAATCCTGATCAAGGCTGACCATCTTTTTTCTTTTCTTCCCCCCCCCCCCTTCTTCCAAAAACAGTCTTTACTGGATGAGCCTAACCCAAACAGCCCGGCAAACAGCCAAGCGGCTCAGCTATACCAGGAGAATAAGCGGGAATACGAAAAGCGAGTTTCTGCCATAGTAGAACAGAGCTGGCGTGACTGTTGACCTTGGCTGATGCAAATGAACACTCTGATGAGGAAAATATATGTATGAAGTGTCTGAGTCCACCATCACCACCACCACCTCCTCCTCTTCTTCCTCCTCCTCCTCCTCGCATCACTGCATTTACTCGGAAAGCAAAACTTAGCTGCCTGTGCCGTTGCCAACTTCCCTCGCTGGATCTTTCTTTTTTTCTCTTTGGACATCAGAAAAAAAAAAAACCAACCCACCACCCACCCCTATCCTTTCTCCCTCCGCCTTCTCCCCTTGAGGTCAAATGTACTGTACTTGGGTTACTTGTTAAAAGAATGACTGGGGCTGGATTTCCACTTCCTGTGGGGTTGGGGGGGTGGGTGTCTACCATCGCCAGTCTTAGGGGCAGTATTGTGCTTTTTTTCTCCCTTCCCCTCCCCCCTTGTAGTGTACACTTAAGCTTTTAATTGTAATTGTGTTATACACAGTGCCGCTTACGTGTATCTTGATTCAAAAGAGAGAGAACGCAAAAAAAAAAAGGATGTTTATATACAATATACATTTTTAACTATGACTTGAGTTGCTAATCTGTCCGAAGCTGATCATTTAACCGCTGGTTTCAACGTCACGACATCTGTGAGTATTTTATGGAAGAAAGGGGGGGGGGACACTTATTTTTTTTCCCCCTTCACGGGGGTGCTGCTTTTCCATTTTGCCCTCCCAAGCTTCCCTTTCAGCTGCGTGGGGGTTTGCAAAAAATGATTTCTAAGTCAACCTAAGGGAGTGGGGGGCGGGTGGGTAGGTGCAGAGGGCCGACCCCTGCTTTTATGGGTCCGGGTGCAAGGTGATTTGATTGGCGTTACGCGTGGACGTAAACATGGTGACAGGCTTTCCGTAGCACTTTCAAAAGGTGCTCAAAACGGCTTTTAAAGTCACGCTTTGAGTAGCGTTGTGGGGCGAGTACAGGAGTCGAGAGTTGGTTAAACGGGTGTGTAAGGGCAAACTTCAAATGCTTCAAAGAAAAAGCCCCATTTCCCCCCCCCCCCTTCTATGATTTTTAATTTCTACCTCTTAACTTAGGGAAAGGGGGAGGGGGAAGGAAATGAGATTGTTTCTGCTTTGCTCACTGTTTGGGAGAAAAGGAAGGGGGGGGGGAGATTGCAAATGCTACTGCAGCATGTGTCTATTCTCTGTTCCCTTCTTCCTTGCCTTCCCTCTGCCTGATTTACAGGGTTGTTTCACAGTTGGGGTTTTGTGTGCGCGTGTGCGTGTGTGAAGCAGAATTTGTACTTTAATCAGCAGTGTGGGAGGAGACCAGTCGGTGGGATTTTGTTCCGCTCTACCAGTGTCTTCTATGTATACATGAACTCTGGAGTACAACTTTGCACAAGTAACCCATGTAAGAAACTGTACATTTTTCAATTACTTGTAAATAAATGTGTAACCGAAAATGCTTAATTGTTGAAAAGAAGACAACGTGCATCCCTTTTACATTTGACTAGAAACAAGTTGATCTTGCAAATCGAGGGACCGTTTCATAAGGCCGATGCCTCATTAGACCAAATGTTTCCCCCCCCTCTCTAGATTCTGGTTGTAGATAAAAAAGAACACGCACTACACTTCCAGGAATGCTTACGGCTAATTACGTAACTTAAGGGTGGTTTATAGTTAATTTCTGCAGCATCTCACAAACTCTTAGCTGAGATAAAGCGGGAGAAATAGTAAATGGCCTTAAGCACATTTTGTTTCCGTTACGTCCCTTACTGCAACAGGTAAAACAGGCTAACACAGGGGTCAGCAAACTGTGGCTCTGGAGCTGCATGTGGTTCTTTCATCCCTGCTGCTGTGGGCACCACAATTGATAGGGATTTCCGTTAGGGCAGGTAGAGGAAAAAGAATGCCCCGCTAGGAGACTATGGTGGGGGAACTGAACTTCCGTTTAGGTCCTTTGCGGCTCTTTTGAGTTTTTAAGGTTGCTGGCCCCTGGGCTGGCGTATCTTTGCCTTTCATAGCAAGCTGGGACATCCTTTAAAAGACTTGTTTCTTGATTGTTGTTTTTTTAAAGGGAAATTGGGTGTCTCTACTACCGCCACAATGCCTTGTGTTTTCCAGCCACCTGTCTTTAAACCCCCTGCAGATGCTTATAAGTTACAAAGGAAAGAGCGGGCATGCACACCATTGGCAAGACCCAAGAGTTTTGCACAGGTGAAATAATATTGTAAGATGAATTCGCTTCACCCAACCTCTGCCAGGCCTGGATGTTAGATGAATGAGAAGTTCATTTACAAGCCAATTTACACCTGGAGATCAAGGGAGATTGAGCAATAGTTAAGGCCTTGTGTTCCAAGCCTTTGTGTGAAACACACACACACACACTAGAGCTGTGTAGTCTTTGGGAGTCAACAGCTAATCTGCAGCTCTTGTCTTGTCTGAAATAACACAATTTTTATCTTTTGCTGGAAATGCCGGCATATCCTAAAGCACTGCAAAGTCCTAATCCATTTTTTTATATAAACGTTCTTGCTTTCCCTCATGCTAAATATAATCTCTTTTTTTTTTTTAAAAAAAACCCTCAAAACAGTTTTCCTCCTCCAGAATACAAAACGATGCGGAATTACTTATTCCCTAAAATAATTCTCCCATTGGGTGTATATTGTTTCCAGCCAAATGAGACTCCACGCGACGTGTAAAACAAGGGAAGGATTGAAGGAAATGGGGAAACAAAAATCTTTGATAACCCTTCCACAGCCCCTTGTAGCTGGGAAGAAAGCCTGCGAAGAGGATTAAAAAAATAATAATACTGCGCACAAAACCACGTCAGCGAGAGAACCTTTTTACTTGCTGATCTCCCTGTGAAAATATACAAGCACATTTACACAAAGGGGTGATACGTAGAGGCTTCCGAGAGAAATAAATGAAACTCCATCCTGTCCGTTCTGGTTAAAATAAGCTTGACGGGTACAAGAAATGCTCCCATCTAAAGCTGGTGGAAAACACAAAATGTATTTGCCTTGTTTTGAAATGTAGAAGCCCACCCCCCCCCACCCCCACGTCTTGCATCACAAATGATGGATCTTCCCGGGAATTGCACAAATCAGGCAACCAGCCTTTGCAAATTTGTTAACTCTGATGCTACACAGCCAAGAGATAAACCCAACATCCATATACCCCCCCACCCCCGACAATGTGGCATTCACAATCTGATCCCTGAGCTTCCGCTTCTTGGTTTTAATATGGAGGGCTAGAAACTCGCAAGAGAGGTCTTGGCCAGGTGCAACTTTTCAACATGCCGAAGTCGAGTTTTGAACTCGTTTGTTGTGAAAAATCACACTGTCCAATCAAACCTGAGTCAGGACTAGGTTAGATGTCGGATAGTAAGAAAAAGCATTGTTAGGATTTGCTAATTTTGCAACCTGTTCTGGTCTGCGACGGTTCCGAGTCAACCAAGAGGGCAAATACTGTTAAGTGATACCATTTCTGAATAGGCTGAAAATAGTTTTTGAGACCTCTACGCCCGCCCTTTTTAAATATAAAACATGCCCTCCCATGCATGGCCAGCCATAAAAAAAAAATCTATTTATTAAGATCCACTTTACATATAGTTCTCTTTTATACGGCCGTCTCTATGTTCCCTCTTTTTTTTTTCTTTAAAAAAAGGACAAAATAAAAATATCGTTTTAAAAACTCTCCCCTCCCTTGCCGAGTAGCTGTTCCTGCTGTTGCCAAATTAGTAAAACACGAAGGGGAGGGGGAAATGTCATATTTCTTTAAAACGGGCACAGATGCTAATCCGCATTGCACGACATGAAACTGGACAGACGATTTGTCGTCAAGTATAAGAAATTAAAATAAGCGGGGGGGAAACATTTGACTTGTGTGTTTTTTCCCCCACAACAATATACAGTATCTGGTGTTTTTTTTCCCCCTCTCCATTTAATGCAAACCCGGTTCCTGTCCAGACGCCCACCTACCCACCCTCAAAATGGGGTTTGTTTTTTTTAAGGTTCGCTCGCTATTTCTCCTGCGGCATGATTAGTTCGTAATGGCCAACTTGACCATCCTGCTTCAGCTGGTCGAGCAAATCTTCTTTACGCCTCTTTCGGCTGACCACTAGGTACCTATCCCTGCCCTGGCCGTGGGACTTGCTTTTCAGCCCGTATTTCTGGGCTATCTGGTGGATCTGTTTCCGCTCGTCGTTGGTGAGTTCCGTGGAAAAAGTCAGATCAATCTTCCGGTCCGAGAAAGCGTAATTTTGGATGATCTGCTCGATATCTTTTTTGGTGATCTGGGAGCCTCTTTCGACATCCAGTCCCAGCCCTTCCCTTTTGAACTGCTCCTTCACCGCGATGGGCTCCCGGATCCCCTCCCCGCTTTTGCCCAAACCGCCCCCCGTCCAGCCCATCTTCCTTAAGATCTGATTCCCGATGTTGTCCTCCTTAATCTGCTGCTTCAAGGCCTCTTCGGCTGAGCGGGCGCAAATCTCGTTCCGGGAAATGACGTCTTCGATGGTGCCTTTTTTCAAGTTGTTGACGACGGTCGGCTGGGTCTTCTTGAGGACCTTCACGGCCTCCTCGGCAGCCACGTGCTTGACGGTCTTCTTGACGCCGACGGCTTCGGCGATCATTTCGTTCTCCAGCATCACTTTGCACTTCCATCGCATTCCCGTCACCCTTTCGAAGACATATTCCACCGTCATCTTGTTGAACTGAGCGGTGTCGTTCAGAGTGCAGACTGGATTCATGGAGTTTTCGTACACCACCAAGTCCTTCAGGTTCTTCTTCTTCGCCGGGTTGCGGGCAGCCCCGCTGACTTTCTGAACCTGGATGGCTTTGGTAGCGCTGACGTTAGACTGCGTCTTCTGCAAGATTTTCACGGCTTCATCCGCCGCGGCGTGCTTGCTGGTTTTCTTGGTGCCCGAGCCTTCCGCTAAGAAGTGGCCTTGCAAATAGACGCTGCAACGCCAGAGACGGTTGGGCATCAATACGTATTTGTAGTCCACGTTCATTTTGTTAAAGGAGGCAGAATTGTTCAAAATGCCAATGGCGTCGCTGGCGTTTTCGGTGAGGACAAAGTTAGTCCAGTGTTTGGCTGAGCTGGGCCCTTGTTGAGGGTCCGTTCCTGGCTCTCCCAATACACTGTCCTTTGCAGGAAGGTTCACTTCATCCGGCGGCTTGAGCGCTGGCGGGAATTCGAGAGGAGATGCCCCACTTTCACATACCACCAAATCTTCCCGCGTGGTGTTTTTGAACTTCCGCTGAACTACTTTGACTTCGACGGGTTTCTGCAGTAGTATCACCGCCAGCTCGGTGGCCCGGTCTCGGGAACCATTTTTGCTACCCGCGTAGCCCGTGGTCAGATAGACATTCTGGCATCTCACCTCACAGGCAAAACCTTCTTTGAGGAGCTTCTTTTTGGGAAGATCAGCAGGGGAAATGTCCTTCAGGGGAGAATAAATATACTCCGGGTTGGTCTTACAAGCCTGAATCGACCGCGTGAAAAGATACGTGTAGTTAATGTTGTCCGGCCCACCTCTACATTTGGGATTGGCAAGATTGTTGCGGATTGCCGTTACTAGCTTGTTAATGAAACACTGCTTGGCTGTTACCACCGATTTGGGGAACGTTTCGGAAGAGGTCTGGAG